GCAATGTTTCTCAGGTACAACGAAGCCTACATGCCAAAATTCAGCTATTTTTGAACACTTTCAAAATGGCCAAAAAATCTAGGGGACGTTCTTGCACGTGGCCTTTCAATTATGTCATTCTGATCCAATTAGAGATGCTGCATGCATGGCTTCCAGGGTACATGTCTCTATAAAAGTACTTTTAACTATTTGCATCCAAATAAGAGTGGTTTACTTTTTATTTGAGCATGGAAAAGTAATTGGTTTCAACTCTGTACCAACTGTGTTACACGATTGGCTTAAAAACTTGCACCACTTTTTCATACAATTAAAAGTAAAACAAAACTAACTGAGACTCACTCACACTTTTTCCTACATGTCCACTTTGCATAAGGTTCATGCAATTACTTCCGAAGTCTTAATTGGTTCACTGGATTGTCTGTGTCCTTTGTGATTGGCTACAGTGATTACTTTGGTTTTGGTTTTCAGATACTTAATTGAAAACCACTCTGTTGATCATTGACAATATTAAAATACAGCAAGCTGTATCAAATGCCACTTAGCAGCATTGAATGTCACAAGCATGGTACTGGTGATTCGACATACCTGTCACTGAGCCTAGTAACCTGTGCTCTTCTCCACTGACCAGTGTGTGTGTGTCTGACACACACTGATTGGCCATACACAGGAACTTGTTGAACACTTGACATTTGTTGTTCACTGCACCATGAATTCAAGGCCACCATATAGGTATCAAACTGTTTCAGTTGATCAGCACTACCTGAATATTCAAAAGAACAAACTAGTAATAAAACTAGATCTCCATTGTTGGAAATACAGGCAGTCAGGGTTGAAAATGTGGCTGCACAATTTGCTGGTCAAGATGACTGGCCAAATAAGTTTTTAACTCTGGTCATCATAAACTTGCTTCAGGCTGGTCAAATATGACATGCAAATATTATTCCCTAATTATACACAATATCTACCCCTTTTCCCTAGAAGTGAGCAAAATGAACAAAATACACAGCTGAGATTATTCACCTGAGCGGAAAAGATGGGTTTAATCATTCATTCATTTATTTATTTATTTATTTATTTACTTACTTATTCAATTTAATGACGACAAATTAACAAAAACAGAAATGCCATAAGGATGGTTGGTAAAAAAGTTATAGACCCCATACTCAGACTGACCACCATCATTATACAGCAGAACCTTGATTTAATGAACCTCTATATAACGAACAATATTCTTTGCCCCAGCAATAGTAAAACGTATGGAAAAGAACCTCATTACAACGAAACCTCGTTATAGCAAACATATTTTGCCAGTCCCTTAGCCCTTTCTTATTTGAAATAAATACATTCTATACATTTTACACCAGTACAGTTGATATTCATTAACAAGCTCCGTATACCATGTTTAAAGCTTGAAATACTAGGTACTGATCTAACTATAAATAGGGGTGGATTCCACATGTTGTCTTGCTTGCTAGGGATTATCCACAGTGTCTTAAATGAAAATGGTGTCTTTTATGTCTGATGATAAATCTGATTAAGCTTGTTCGATCAAGGGAAGTGGATTTACTATGTTCATTTTTTCTGTGTTTATGGACCTCAACTGCATCTCAGTCCATAAACATGCAAAAAAGACCTTGGCCAATATCCCGCCATCTTGACTCACGCTTGGTCAATAACCCATGTACTTCAGGTCAGCTCTAACTACATTGTATATCAATATAAAGTCAATAGGTTCGAAGGGTAACATTTATTCATGGGAGGTTGCCAGGTGATGAGGTGGTTAATTTCGAATAAACGGAGCATTGTTCAACAAATAGCAATCTCATTGTTCTAATACTTTGGTACCAGACTGTGCAGTTTATTAATTACTTAAAAACTTACCTGTCTGCGCCCAGAAGTGTCCCACGTCGATAATATTCGTGACTCTAGCGAGCGTATCACCTCTAGCTGAGCCGCCTGGTGATTTTTTAACCTCATGTTCTTCCCAATTCTCGGCTTTCGAGATTGCGAAGACAGAGGACCCGACTCGCGAGGTACTCTCTCCGCTTGTTTTAGCCGCTTCCCATCTCGCGAGAGCTCCTCTGCCTCTTCCGCGGCCAGTCATGATCTTATAATTCTCCTTACATACTGAAATTGTGTAGTTTCATAACGCTTCTTGTCTATTTTTCTCGCAATTTACAACTATAAAACATACTGAAAGGTTGTACAAATGTGCCGTGTTAGTGAATATTCCAGGCGTTCTTCCAATCCCACGTGGCAGCTGGGCCGAGGTCGAACAACACTCTTTACCAGGCGTCCCGGTCTTCGCGCGCTCAACTTGCACGGGGGTTAGGGGCAGGGGGGAAAGCACACTCTTCGGCTAACCCCACCCTCGATGACGAAAATGATTGGGAACAAGATGAAGTTTTGGGTCCACGTAACATGTAGCACGAAACAGGTACTCGGACTACAGAAGAGTTTGATTAACCAGTATTAACTTATCAGCCACTCTCTCCATGGGCTAGCGCCAATCTGAGTTTGAGATTAGTTGTAGAAGTTGTTTTCTTATTAATTTTGTTACCAAATCCTCCAATTTCACATGAATTTCAGCCGCCTTCAACTTGTACGACCCCAAAACTCAGTGAAAACTCGACCAAGACCCCCAGGACTGACCAACGTACAAATGAGAAAATGTATGCGATTATTCCGAATACTCTTACATGAAGCAGGTGGCGATAACCATCTGGGCGCGTGACGGTCAGGTGAAGTATTTTGCAGCACGGGTAAGCGTTAACATAAAATATTTCACTTAAAGGTGTTTTATTCCAACTGTTATCCATAATTAATTTTCAACTTTCGAGTATTGAAAGTGCCCAGAGCTAATGAATTATTTATGATCTGCCCAACCGTGTAACCTGCATGCATTGGCGAAATATAAAGCTACAGAACTTCATCTCTATTTCCTAATAAGACTTTTTAAGGTCACGTCAAACGCAGAGGCTCAATTACCCCCTTGCATATGAAAAACAGACTTACTGCTCAATGTGCCATTTGAATTCATAAAATTGTGGACTAGCCAGCTTTTCACCGATCAGGTGATTAATGTTGTTCACAGATCACTCTTCACGTGGGTGGGGTAGGGGGAGGAGGAGTGGAGCGGTAGGTATTGAGAAGATTACTAATGAGAACAAGTGAATATGTTTGTAAATGATGCAATGATGCTAGCCTATCGCTTAATCCCTAATCCATCCTCTTCCAGGGATGGCGGAGCCAGGGGGCTGGAATAGGGCGAGGGGGTGCGAGCAAAAAATAAGGAAAATAATAATTTTACAAATATCTCCAGATCCCCTACAAGTTAGCGCCTCTGGCACTCACTTGTAAGCCCCTCCCCCATTCAAAATATGCTCCGCCATCCCCTTCCTTTCCCCCTCTTCCCTCAACTCTTAAATATGACTTATTAGATATTACCCCCTTACCCCTTCTTACCATGGAATGGGTTGATGTTTTTCAGGTAAGGTACTCACAAATATGGCCTTATGGCCAGTGATGGGGTCTAAAACAGTTTTAACATCCATCTTTCCTTGTGTGCCATGCATCTGTCACAATGTTTAGACAGACTGTGGTCATTCTTTGTAAGAGGGGAGCAATTATAAATTAATGTCGTTGTTCCTAGCGAAAGTAAGTTAACTGTGGCGACTTGCGATTGAACCAGGGCTATTACTCAAATACAAACAACTCGTGATGGCGTTAATGGGGGAACACTGCCTTGCGTTTGGTTAGCCCATGCGACTTCCGGCAATAGCGTGACAAAACAACCTCACTTATCTCCCCAGCACTACGAGCTGAATGACAGACAGCACGTGCTGGATCGGACAAGAGTATCGGTTAGCAAACGACGTTCAAAGGCGATGAAAAAACGACAAGCTTGGGGGAAGTGGCTGCGCAGACTTAACCACACCACACAGGAGTGACCCCTTGTTTATTATGCAGGAATACATGACCAACCTCGTCTCCAAAGGGAGGGANTTGACCCGAAAGCCTCGCTTTCGCGCGCACTGGAGGTAACACCGCTGAAACGTGGGCTCAACTGTAATAACAGCTATTTAATTTTTAGCAATGATCTTCTCATTGCGCTATTTTATCAGACAACACTCTCCCTTCGTTAAGAACTGTACTACGCTCTCATATCTTGCTAAGGGTGTTTGAGTGTGTCGGGTTGGTTGGTAGAATGGGGGATAGGGGATTAGGGCGTTGCCTCTGTCATCCTGGTCCCAGTTGTTCGAAGGTTGGATAACGCTATCCACCGCCGGGATAAATCACTATCCAGTAGATAAGTGTAAACAAAACACACTACGCTATCCACTTGATAGTGATTTATCCGGTGCATAGCGTTATTCACCTTTTGAACAACTTGGGTCAGAAGCTTAATAACCCTATCGAATCACCACTTAAAAGATGCGAATCGCGAGTTTTTGTAACTGAGTAACTTTTGGCGCCAACTGGAAGCAAAGCGTATGTTACGTAACACATGATGTTCACTTGACCTCACTTTTTTTAACTTTCTCATCTCTTTGAAAGTACAAGATTTTTAAAATCCAAGTTTTAACACCACACGTACCTTGAAAAGAATGAGTAATTCTGAGATTTTTAGCAGTGAACTGATCGCTTTAAATATATCAGAGGAACTAGATCCCACAATCGTCATACTTGGGCCCCTCCGCAGAACACAAACTCTGAACTCTATAAATTTGTGTGAAACTTTTTGGCGGATAACTTGAGTACAGAATATCTCAAAGACCTGAGACTCGGAGAAGTTGATTGTTTATTAGTTTGCTGTAGCGTCTCAAATTTTTTTCATTCAGTGGTTTCGAGTTTTACACTTTTTCGTGAGGTGAAACCAGAAGTTGTATTTTTCAAAAACATTACCACGCTCGTGACTTGCTTTGAGCTTTTTGCTTTACCTATCACTTGGGTCATTAATCTAGGCTCCGTCCGCACTACGCCGGAGAAAGTTGAAAACGTAGCTTTACTTCTACTATTAGGCGTATCATCCGCACTAATCCGTCAGGAAAACAGAGCTTTTCGAAAAACGCTCTTCAGACCGGAGGAATTTGAAAACGGAGGCCTTGAGTTTTAGTGTGGACGAAAAACATTTTGAAAACGGACCTTTCGAAAGCGATGACATCACGGTAATCCCCAAGTTTCACAAACACAAATACAAAATGACCGGTTGCGTTTTTCAAATTTCTCAGGGCGTAGTGTGGACGGAAAACATTTGATGCGTTTTCAGGGTGAAACTTCCGTTTTCAATTTTCTCCGGCACAGTGTGGATGGTGCCTTAAACTTTTTTTTTACTCAGGCTCACTGACGAACTCATATTAATTTGTAGTGACGTGATATTCTAACATAGCAGCCTGATATGTCTGGAAGTCGAAACCAGGCAAATTTACAAAACACCTGAAAAAAGGGCTTTTGCTGTTTGCGATGCCAAGATCTTTGATAAATTGACGAATCGAGACACAAAAATTCATGTTTATCTCATTAAAGCACGAATTTCTGAACCGAATTTTATAAAATAGATATCTAAAATAATCTTTTAACTTGAGCCTGTACCGAGACGGGGAAGAGACCCTTTGAAATGGACCACTTAGTTACGACTGATTTCTTTCGCAAACACGGAGGTCACAAACGGAAAAGTAATTTCTGGAAATTATATAAGCGTACAAAATTGATTTTTAGGTTAAAAGAAGTGTACCACAGGATAGGATAAAGAATTCATACACACTTCAAACTAAGTGCGTTTTCCAAAGAAACTGAACCCGATGAGTTGATCACGTACGCCGCGGCGTTTAGTGTTACGGACAGTCCTTCATCATTAAGTTCACTTTTAGTAAGGGTATATATCAAAGGCGAGAAGCTCCGGATACATTGATTAATAAAGGATTCACTCGCGTAAACTGTTTAAAACAACGACATCTAGCAAAGTTCAAAAACGTGAAGTGCTTTTCACTTGGCAACGAATCATGTTTTCATAAACAGGAATTGAGCTTAAATGGAGCGTACCTTTATCATTCAGTTGGATGCCATCTCTGCTACACGGCTTACCACAATATCCCTTTACAATCAGGCTGTATGTCCCTAAAAAAGAAAAATAGAAATTCTCTTAAAACTTTTTCAACTAACTGTTAGTTGAAAGCTGCTTGTATTCGACAAAAGCGTATGCTCTGAAAACCTAACATAGGCTTACCTTCGAATACATGATCAAATGTAGCGCACTAATTTTGATTTTCTTTCGCAACGGGATTTTTAGACCATCTCATTCTCTGTGCAAGGCTTAACCTGAATTGTTATAACCTTCCTACTATTCAGATCTTTCAAAACGTTTTCACCCGATCTATGTTGGCGGCGTTTCCTGAACTCATTCACCCCAACCATCAACCCTTGATTGACACATGAAATCACTGCCAAGAGGACAATAAGGGTGGGGTCGGTGAGGATGCAACCGCTCAGCGATTGGCCGAGAAAAAGCTGGAACTAGGGGGTTTTTGAAGCATAATTTTATACAGAATTTGAATTTCTGAATGGAGTTTTTGTGACTAAATTTTCGAAAAGATGACACAAGCAACGTCTGGACCTTTTCAAGAGCGAAATGATACCAAGTACTTTTACTGCGGACAGAGACCCCCTTGTGAGTTCTGTGGAAATATTGTACAACGTGCGCGTGCCCCTTCATCACTTCTGACTTGTTCGCTTATGTGCGGCTGAGTTGTCTTTTTTGCATTCCACTCTCTAGACTGGTAAGTCATTATCTAGTCTACAGTTTGTTGCATTTCGACGGCAACTGAACTTTAACTCATAGAGTTACTTTATTGTCCCTATTTGCAGATTTCCGAGAAGTTCTATCAGACACACTCGGGAAAGTAGTGCCGTCTTGAGCCGTCTCTCAAAGCAGCTGGCAGCAGCAAGCAGACAGGCTAAAAGTCTCGGGGGGTATTCCGAAGGGGTTGCAGTCAGAAATGATTCGTTGTATAGCAGTCTTAATTGCTCTATCCTTTTTGGACCACGGATCAGCTCAGTAAAAGCCAACATGGGAGTCGCTGGACTCACGTCCCCTCCCCTCTTGGTATGATGAGGCCAAGTTTGGTAATTTCATACACCGGGGGGTGTGCTCTGTGCCAAGTTTTGGATCTGAGTGGTTTTGGTACCGCTGGAAACATAACCAGATACCAAGCTATGGGGAA